TCAATATAATATAGCCTTACTTAGTGACCTAGATTATATGCATAAGAAGAATTTAATTAATTTAATAATTAATTATTAATTTAATAAAATAGGCCGCCCTTCAAACTCATCAATTAACTCTAAACACTTTTCTCTGTTCCACTCCATAGCTAGGTACAGTTTTAAAACACCCCAAACACAACGAACGTTCAAAACTGCCGTATCCACTGAACACCGGCCAACGAACAAATTCTTTTGAGCAAATCCCGTTTACCGACAAGCTTCGGAAAATGTTTGGCGTGTTCAGTTCAGTTCGGCGCAACGTACTGTCTACACAAACTTGTTACAGCGCGCGCGGCGCGTTTGGTTCGTTCGGAGTGTTTTGTTGCAAGTGAATACCCACCTTAAGAATAATTTTTTTTAATTACTATAGAATATCATATCGTGCAATTGCCAAGTAATTATAATTATTATAGAAATAAAGATGACTAATATTGATACTAACAATTTATATCAAAATGGTTGAATAGGTGCTTAAAGAGAGACTAAATAAAATAAACTGACTTGGTTTTACATGAGATCTCACAACTTTTTATAGCGGAGGAATTGTGTTGCGAGACTTGGCATTTTTTTACATTCTATGTTTTTGATGGGATCTTATTTCATTTTGTAGGTTATCCTTCTATTTTTTTCGGGTCATTCCAAATAATATTTTTAAAGTTGACTGTAATTCATAAACTTTGAATTATCGTATAATTAATTAAGTCAGATAATATCAATTGAACTAATTCTAGTTTTCTAACGACTTCTCTTTCCGACTTTCGTTATAACTCAAATATCAACTTTAAAAATGTTCAATTCATAATTTTACCAATGCTTATCCAAAATTATTTTTTTTTGTCAATTTTACACATATTTTATTTTTGTCTCGAAAACTATAAGAGATAAATCCTTGAATTATTGTTTAAGATATGTATTTAATATTTTACAATCAGAATATTATCGAAAATAAAAGTAAAAAAATTATGCCCCGATGCAGCCGCTAACTCGGGCCTCCCGAGTTCGGCCTTCCGAACTAGCGGAATACTTTGGCGCCGCGCTATCAAGCCTTGGTCAAAATATGTTCAAGCCTAGCATTTAACATATTAAACTAAAAAAATAAATAGGGACTTCATTACAAGTTAAAGTCTGACTAGAAAAAAATCATAATCCATTAACATTGATATATAAATAAAATCAGAAGAGACCGCTCCGATTAATTCTAGTTTTCTACCTTTTTCTCAACTGGAAAGCCAGTTACCGGTAGCGGCTAGACAGCTAACTTTTAATCCATGAGGATATTTCGAGATTTTTCATTTTTTCCTTTGGTTATATAAAGCTACCTAAAATTCTAAATTTGGAGTTTGTGACACATCTAGAAGTACCTTAGAATTTTGATGATCTATCAGTGAGTCGAAATTAAAGAAATTTGACAAGCAATAATTCATAAACTATGAGGAATAGAATAATTACTAGATATTTTGGTAACATAGCCAGTTATAGTATGTCTTCAAGTGTAGTGAAAATTAATATTCTTGCTTTATTCACAACGAAGTTACAGGGTGGTCAAAAGTGCCGCTAATACCTTCGAGAACAGGATGGTACGGCTGTGCCCGACTTGGCGGGGGCACTGTGGCGAGGACACTGTGGACAGATATTATAAATTGGTACAAAAAGAAATGCGATTCCCAAACAGAAAACACGCACACAAGCAGGTGTACGGCTGTTAAAACTTTTCACTACTTTCATACAAATAACTGATATTTGACAATAGTGCTTTTACCTTTTGTTGGTTTATCTGTATTGTTTGAACAATTTTGTTGTTTTTATATATTGTTTATACAGGGGGAGTCTTAAGTAAGTGCAAATATTTTCAGGGCTGGTAGATGCAGTTGCCTGAACAGGCATTTCTAAAAAGTTTTCGAAAAATATACAGAGAAATTTAAAACAAAATGCACGATTTTCAATATCTTATCCAAACCAAACCAAACCAAAACTATACCTAACATTAAGCGTTTTTGAGAAAAAAAATATGTAAAATTTTTGGCCGAAAAAACTGCCTGTCAAAATATGTGTATAGCCTAAACGTCAAATTTAGTGATTACCACAGCCACTGTGACATAAAGAGAAGACATGTGGTTATCTATTTCAAAAATTAAATTGTTCGAATATCATATTATAATGGTGGTAGCCTGTCATGGAATTGAGCGATTAAAAAATAGTCATAAATAATTTTTTTTAAATAAAAACCCACTTGTTTTGTTTCATTAGTGAAAAGGTTTTTCAATTCGTTGCTTTTTGACTACACATGTTCATATACATAAAACAAATCGTTTTTAAGTTATTTTAGATTTAGTTTTAAAACGTATATTTTTCTTGATTTTATCTAGCTTTCTTTGACATTAAATGTCAAACAATCAGATTATTTATTTCCATCTGTCAGAAAACTAATTATTTAAATTTCCTATATTATAAATACTGTTGCCATAAGAGTATAAAAAGTGTATTTATAAATATATATCTCGTATTTTCGTTCTTTAGTGATAGTTGATTATTAATAATATACCGTATAATGGAAAAAAATGGCACAAAGTTGTCTTGGAAATGATGATCGATGACATACTGCTTTCTGAACAAAGTGTCACTATATGACATGACCAGATCTATTGATTTACATCAATCACTTGACGCTTCACGTTTAAAGTCACAGACTATTGGTTAAAATCAAGAAAAATGTACGCTTTAAAACTAAATCTTAAATAACGTAAAAATGATTTATTTTAGGTATAGGAACAAGTATACTCAAGAAGTAACGAATTGAAAAACCTTTTCACTAGTGAAAAAAATATGGGTTTCCATTTGATAAAAATAATTTATGATAATTTTTTAATCGCTCAATTCCATGACAGCTACCGCCATTATTATATGACATTCGAATAATTATCTTCTCTTTGTGTTACCGTGGCTGTGGTAATCACTAAATTTGACGTTTAGGCTATCCAGATGTTTTTGATAGGCAGTTTTTTTCGTCCAAAAATTGTACATAATTTTCTTCTCAAAAACGGTTAATGTAAGATATAGAGTGTCTAATATCAAAATTCATAAAATTTTACAGAGAATTTAATTATGTAAAAAATGGGGGTACCCATTTAAAATAAAAAAAATTGCTGTCAATTTGCGGTATTTCCGGAAGTGCCGTCATATTGAAAATAGTTTTAATCGATAGATCTCGTTGCCAAACAATGATGCGCAAAAAATCTCCGATCTAGATATAGTAGTTCTCTAGAAATTTCTAATGCACGCTCAGCCTGGGACACCCTGTATTTACCACACTTTTTTGAAGCACTCTGTATACTCTATAATAATTTTAGAGTATGTATCTTAACTTTTTCTATAACTTTTATATTTAACATTTTTTTTTAAACTTCGAGCAAATGAGATAATTGACTTTATCGTTGACTCACCCTGTACATCATATAAATGTATTCCAAAGGATGGGTATATGACACTAGTTTACATGGTTTTCGTACCCCAGCTAAAAGTTGTTATTTTATTATTTATTTAGGTAGAATTATCCAGAAAAAAATAATAGAAAATTCTGCCACATCTGGTTTAAGAAATATTTATTTACTTAACTGAAATACATAATGTTTAAAAAATTTTGTTTTTTAAAAATGACAAATTTTTGCCTTCTTTTTATAGCTATTTGAATCAGTTTTTCTTATAATGGACCAACAGTAATCCCCTAACATGTTTTCATCCCAAAATCCTTGATGTCGTTCTTCAAAAACCTTTAAATCTTGGTGGAAACGTTCCCCTTGTTCGTCACTCATACTTTCGAAGTTGTCAGGGAAAAAACTCAGATGCGAGTGCAAAAAATGAATCTTTAATGACATGTTTACTCCCATTTGTTGAAAATTTTCCAATAAATCGGTAACAATTTCTTTGTAATTTTCACTTTTTTATTTCCCAAAAATTCTTCCACAACCATTTGGAATGACATCAAAGCAGATTTTTGACAGATAAAAGACTTTCAAACTGAGAATCTTTCATAATTTTAACAGACGAAACTTCGGCTTATATAATACCCGCCTTATTTTTTTTATTACATCCCAATGTCTTCGTATGACAAAAGTAACAATCATTTTCATGATTACTAGGTTCTCTCCATAACATTGGTGAACCAAATGGAAGGTGTACATTTTGTCCTAATGACCACTGGAGTAAGACGAATCTACAGCTTTCGCAAAACACATGAGGCACCCACTTTTTATCTTGGTTTGCAACAGGAAATCCAAAATAATGAAGATATTTTAACGAATCTACAATGGGTCTTCTCTTCTTTGATAATATATATTTTCCACAAACATAATAAAAACGATCAGAACTTTGTTTACATATTCTACTCGACATTTTAAATCAAGCCGAAACAAGATAATTTTTATCGATTGAAGCGAACGAATAACACTAAACTGCCCTCACCACGTCAGGCATTCGAAAAAAAAACATTTGATAGAATATTTATTTCTTCTAACACTTTTAGGTTGAAGGAAGGTAGATTAACATATTTATGTGCATTTATTTCGGGGTATATAAAAAAAGTTAAACTTTGTAAACTAGTGTGATTGGCGTGAAAATAAATTAATTATAGTCTTTTTATCATATTTTTATCCCTTTATTTTGTTCATACAATTCATATAACTCAATTCCCAATAATAAGCATAATTGTACTGCATAATTGTACTGATTCGCACGTTCTTGTTATTTAAGCCACCAAAGCAAATTAAAGCAAAGGCGATGGATAACATTAATGTATCGCCATACATTTATAACACATATGTATGGTGACTGCATTACATATATTTAAATTTTATTGTAAGCAGCTCCAACTAATTGAAATTGTGAGCCCAAACAACAAATTCATTTATTAGTTACAGCATATATGAGCATATTGTTATTCAGTTTTTTTCTTTGTTTATGACTAATATTGAGACAAAATTAAACTTTAAGGCTTATTTAAGTGTTAGCTAACAAAACCAACAAGTGAGAGACCATTCGCTTTAGCACTTTAGTGCGATATGCCATATGCATATAATATGCAGTAAGAATGCATTATTGAAAATTATTATTTTTTATTTCCTATTTTCTATTGATCTCCTTATTCTCTTCATTTCGCATTTTTGATATATCGTGTCACAATTTCCGTTTCCTAGGCCTAGTATTGCAGCTTTTAATCCTTTTATTATAAATAGTTTATTATTGGAAATATCTTTTAGAATCCAGCTCATTCCTAGACTAAAATAAAAATAATTATTGTTTAAACATATCTTAAAAGTTTATAAATAAATAAATAAATAACGTCCTAAAAAAGTTAACCAAGCATATTAGTACAGCATCCGGCTGCAGGATTATTACGCTCATCATGTTTTTAATCAAAACCTATTTTTTTATATTTATGAATAGGAGAATACTCTTTCAAGAGGATGCCAATCAAAGGGTTGCCGCAACTATTTTTATTTAATAATAATAATATCTGATTTTGCGGACGACATTATGTTCATAAAATTGTTTGATCAAAAAAAATAAAGCTATTTTATCCTATCCATGATGTTATAAGGATTCTTATGAAAAAGTTGCCGCAAATAGGGGTTGCCATGTTTCAAAGTTGTTCCCTATACAGGCCCGGCAACAGTGCATCGGGCATTGCAGATTAAATTTAACAAAAAAATATTCACTTTTTATTTATTAGACATATACCGGGTGCGTCTCAAAAGTGACTCACCCCTATAATTTTTTTTATTTTTTCAGTTAAAAACACGAGATTTGGTTGTTAGTATATGTCATAAATTAGGATTGATTGATGTACTGAATTGTTTTCGATCACTTCATGTTTCACAGGAAATGACTACAACTTTTGATTTTTAAATGGCACCCTCAGTATTTTTTACTTTATTCGATAGAAAATAACACTCTGAATAGAATGACATATAAAATGTCAACTTTTGACATTTTCACTTACGGTTTATTTGAAATTATAACATGCGGTTCATAACGAAAATTTGACTCGAAATACCAAGTGTGTGGTATCAAATTATTCGTGAAAAAATGCTTTCCAATATGCTAATGAGCCACCCACGATCCATTTGAAAAACTTGAAATATGATTAAAAATACGATTTGGGCATTTTTTAACCGACCAGGACAATACACTAAAAACATTAGACAATCAAATATATTTTTCCAAGGCTCCTTGATTAAAAAGCGTGTTTTTAACATAGCACTCTAGATTGAAATTTAAAATACGATTTTTTATTAAGTGAAAATGTCAAAAGTTGAGATATGATATGCCATTCTATTGAGAATGTCATTTTCTCAATAAAATAAAAAAATACCGAGGGTGCCATTTAAAAATCAAAAGTTGTAGTCATTTCCGGTGAAACAATTGAATACGTCAATCAATCCTAATTTATGTCACATACTAACATACCAAATCTCGTTTTTTTATCTGAAAACATAAAAAAGTTATAGGTGTGAGCCACTTTTGAGATACACCCGGTATAAACAATATTCCAAAGAACTTTATAAATAAAAATTGTATGCTAACTTACTTCCATACCGGCAATATTAATTTATTAAAATACTTCAACGTTTGAGAGTAACTATTGCTTAAACATATTGCCTTTTCTAGACAATCATTGTTACTAACATTTGTAACTAATGCAGCATCTATGGAACTCATTATCCTTTTGGTCATCTCATTCAAAGCAATTTGATCAGTATTTATAATTAGAGGTATGTCACGTTTTAACCTAAAACAGTTTAATAACATAGAACTAATACTATCCAAACCAAAATACACAGGGTGTTTCAATAAACATGTGCCATCTCTGGTGGGGAGATTTCTCACGTAAAAATAAGATTTATTTTTCATATCAACATTGGTCCGATTCTGCTTTGTTTCGTAGCTACAGGGTGTTAGTGTTAATATTTTTTCGATTTATTGTAATTTTCTTCCAAGTACTTTTAGCGTTTCGAATTAAATTTTTAAGGTAAAAGTTACTATAAGTGCTACAAATTTTAATGCTAAAAAAATGGAGATAAATTCACCAGAGACGTGCATATAGGTTATCACTGGAATATTTAAAAAAAAACATGCGCGCCACTGACGTTTTTTCTTTTTATATCAAAATTGTGTAGGCCGTTTAATGCCAATTAAAAGCTATCTCTTGATATTTTGTCGAATTATTCGCTTCCTTGATGAGATAAACGCTATTTTATTAATCACATTTAGTAAAATTAAAATAAAAATAAAATTTATAAATCATATAGTTTACCTAATTTATTATTCAATATTATTACTATTAGTTATTATTACTAGTAGTCCAACCTACAGCAATTTCATATACAAAAATATGATATTTAAGATAATTGGAAAAAACCTAATTTTAAAAAGTTTTAACATCCTGTAACTCTAAAACTATGCGTTTTCTTACCCATGTTTATAGGAACTTTTTTTCATATTTTTTGATGAGGAATCAATGGGTACTTATTTAAAACTGCTCAACCCCAGGCCCCCCACCAGGCTCACTCCAGGATAAATTGCTAATTACGCTAATGTGATTAATTCGTTCATTTTAAAGTCAGTTTTCTGCATCAGGGTGCCCCCATTTTGGCTGAAAAACTGTCGTACCTTTTTGTTAACGTACATTTTCTGTCTGGATATTACCATTACCAGGTCGAGGAAGACTACCAAATAAAAAATATGAAAATACGGTTCAAGTTTTATTAGCTGAATTTTGTGATTGTTTTTTATGATTTTAAATGGTTTTCATAATTGGGGCTCGAAAAAGTAGTTGATACTTTAGAGAAAACTTTTAATTTAATAATTTCAGTAGTTTTTTTTTTTTAATGTAGCTCCTCATTGTGAAATCTAATAAGTTTTTCTGTTAATTGACAAATTGTCACAATGTCCTCATGGGGAACAACTAACCTTTCTCGATTTTGTTTTTGTAATAAAGATAAATGTTTTTGATTTCTTTTAACGTTCATTAAATAATTTTTACAATCATCACATTTAATTTGCAACATTTTTCCGCCTCCGACATATCCACTTATGTAAGTGACAATATTTTCGACAAAAGGAGTAAGAAACATTATAAATGATCTATGTAATCATAATCTGGGAACTTGATTCTTCGCGGTTCAAGGCAATATCACATGTGCGGCACTTAGGTTTGTTTTCTAAGAATAATATGCGTGTTGCGTCTAATATTGGACAATTTGCATTTGGTGACGTTGATATCTGATGATGTACTAGCAATATTTTGTAGGCATATTTAAATCGTCTTACAGAGGGATTATTATTAAACACACCACGACAGCTTCGAATGGCACTAAAAAATGTTTCCAAATGATCTTGTAATTCATTTTGCCTGTGCAAATTAAAAAATCATATAGATTGAGTAAATTTGTGAGACAAACTACAAAACCTAAAAATCCAAAGTTTTTCTGTTTGTCTCTATAAGTATTGATCCAAAAGCATCTATCAGGTTTGTTAAATATTTAATCAAATTATCAATCCTATTTTTAAATATTTCATAATTTTTAACTGAAATGGGTTCCTTATATTTGTATTTTTGCAAAAATTTATACTAATGGAATTTAATACATACATATAATATATTAAATATTATAACAGTTTTATCATTTTTTTTATTATAATATATGTTAATACTTTTGCAAAACTGAGCTGTTGCGTCTCCATCATCAAAATTACAGAAAGCTATGGCATTTGCCACGCTTAGATTTAAAGTTTGTGCCACCAATCTCATTTTTTCATTTTGAAAATTATTGTTGACTAATTTTATTGGCGGCACGTAAACCCTCAGAAGTTTGAAGATTGAAGAGATTTTCAATAAATGGCCATTTAATAATTTTCCCCGTATTATCCATTAAACATTATTTATTACCCAATGTCTTAAGATATAAATTAAGCCTGTGACATGCATCCCAAAAAATTAATACTTTTTCTTTTGTTATTGGGTGATAAAACTATTGTTCGAATATTTACAGCCTAATTTAGAAAATTCCGATATGTTGCATGATGGCACCATCAAATGTCACGCTATATCAAGCAATATTTGAATTATTTAAGAGCTCTAAACAAATTTTAGTTACATTAGTCCTTTCATTAAACCCCAAAGCGTTAATCAAAAATACCCAAAGGTATTTTCCAACTATCTTTCAAAGCAGTAGACATGAATACTAAAACATTTGTAGCCAAAATTAACGATTCGCAACTTGTACCGCAATCAACAAAACCTTCATATTTATTTTGATCCTGTCCATTCAACGAACTGTCTAATATGCATTTCGTTAATGGCAATATTAACAATGTTATTTTTATTTTCAGCTTTTGATTTCAAAGCATCAAAATCCTCCTTTGTAAAACCTGGTTCCCCATCCAAAACCGAGTATCACTTTTGAATAGTTGATGGATGAGTTGTTAAAAACAAATTGTTAAATGACTTCTTGACGTAACTGTAGGCTCTTGGAGAATAAAAATGTAACATTAAAGCAAACGATTTTATTTCTCTTGGGTACTTCTTATTTTTAGCTTGCAATTGCCGAGATATTATTTGCTTAATTTCCTCTGGCACGCCATCCTAAAATATGAAAATATTCCATTAGACTTTAAATAATACCACAAGTTCAATAATAACTACCAATCGTAGGCGCTTACCAGCTATAACTCATTTCTTTTATATATATTTAATAAATTAAGAAAGATTTAAAATCTTAAATACATGAAATCGCGTTCGCAGGTTTATGACCTTAATCTAAGTTTCGGACAAGGGTATAAAGCTTTTAAAGCAATAAAGTCTTTTAGCTGAAAATAGGTATAGCTTTGTATTTTTCATATTTCATTGTTTGTGTGTATAATTATTTATATTCTTTAAATCTCTTTCTTGGTTGCAGTTTTTACTTATATTGGTGGTATTTTCTAATGTGTTAATTATATTATTTCTATGCATATTGGATAAGTATAATAATAATAATAATAATAATAATAGTCTGCCTCCTAAATTCCAACCCAACGTCCACGTCGTAGGAGGCGGAAAACGGCTTAGCCGGCCAACTGGGCTCTGGTACCGCTATGTGGGTTAGCAACCCATGTAGTGTGAAATATTGCTCCAAAAAATGTAAGAAGCAATCGAGGCGGGGCAGGAGGGCAAGCTGCTCCTGTTCGGAACCGTCGTGATGATCAGCTTGCAACAGATGACGACCCAGCACCGAATAATGGACTAGAACCCGCTAGAAGTGTTTTGCAGGACATACGCCCTACAACCACCCTAGCAGGTAAAGCACGACAGAGGATGAAATGGACCGACGAAATTAACAAAAACCTACTCCTCTGTTACTTCACCGTTACTAATCTCCAACAAAATACAACAGGATATAGAAGTCAGTTATATCAGGCCTTTATGAACATCTATCCAGAACTTAGGGAAATGATCACAGAACAAAGACTATCAGACCAAATTCGAGTCATAATACGAAACAACAGAATATCTCCAACAGAAAGAGAAACTATAAGAAGACAAGCGGCCGAAGCCATACAAAATGAAGACGAACCACAAGCACAACAATCAGCTTCACCTACATCACACCCACAAACAATCACACCAGAAACACCCGAAACACATACCATGCTGACTAACATACAAAGTTCATCAGCAGAATCGTCGATAAGACACACCCAACACGAAACATCAATCCCGCCAACAGACACATGCCAACCATCTAATCAAATCGATGAAACATTTAATGAACTATACGCCCAATACCAAGGAGCAAACCCATCATCCAGACCTTTCATTACCAGACCACAAAACACACAAAACATCAAAAACACCATTGCAATAATTAATAACATCATAGGAAAAAGGATTGAGGAATCAAACAGCTGCCTAGACATTGAAGAAATTCTCACGCTCGTATACTGTGGAGCAGCAACAACTATGCGAACCCACGAACAGAAGAATAAAAACAACGACTTAACTAAAACTAAAGCAGCAATACCCCCATGGCAGCATCGGCTCCAGAAAAAGATAGCCACACTGAGGAAAGAAATTGGAGTCATCACACAACATTTGAAAGGAAACCTAAAAAAGAGACCCCCGCAAAACATATTACCAGATATCAGCTCAGAAGAATCAGTAGTAGAAATATTAGATACTAAAAAACAACAACTACAGGCACAAGCAAAAAGACTAAAACGATACAAGAAGAGCCACCAAAGAAAACAAGAAAACAAACTTTTTAACACAAATGAAAAAAGGTTCTACAGATCTCTCGAAACAACGGAACAGCAAATAAACAATCCACCATCAATTACAGAAGTAAAAACTTCTGGGAAAATATCTGGTCACAAGCAGTAGAACACAACAGAGAAGCTCAATGGATAACAGAAGAAGAAAACAAGCAGATAAATACAACAGCCATGCCAAATGTAACAATCACCTTAGAAGACATCAAAGCTGCCATATCCAAGACACACAACTGGAAAGCACCTGGAGACTACAAAATACAGAACTACTGGCTAAAATCATTCACAAGCATCCACAAACCACTAACGAATATATTACAAAATTTTGTACAAGGAACGGAAGCCATCCCCTCTTTTTTAACTCAGGGAGTTACCTACCTTAAACCCAAAGGCACGGACACTTCACCCCATCTAAGTACAGCCCTATAACATGTTTATCAACAACCTATAAATTACTAACGGCAATAATAACAACAAAGA